AAACCTGGAAAAGCAAATTGACATTTGTCAAGAGTGATTGAAGTCTGAAGACTGAGTTGCTGTTAGAAGAGCTGAAGCTTGGAGTTGAGAGAGGAGTTGAGCTGCTTTCTTCTGTTTTCTTTTCTATATTGATGTGCCTTGTTTGACTTGCCTGATGCATTAGAATAAGTCCATATCTAGATTTAATCTAGGAGCATGATTGCACTAGAGGTTGAGTTGCTCCCTCTACTTGTATTGTTACTGTATGGCTTTGCTTGCGGGTATTCGGTAGAGCCCTGCTCCCTTGCCCATGTGGTTTGTTTGCCTGATGGCATCTTCTGTATGATACAGTTTACTGTTTTTCCTTGATAGCATGTTTTATTTCAGTATGATTACTGTTATTCATTATGGCTTGAGGTTGAGATGAGCTTGTGAAGGCTGATGACCCACACACATTTCCTCCCTCACTTGCATTGCATGCATTTTACCGTATTACTGTTTACTGTTTAAGCTGATGCTTTATCTGTTTCTGTGTATCATTGACATGATCCCTTAGGAGTCTCATTTCCTTTGATAAGGAAGTGATGATAGAACCTTAGGTTGAAACCTATGCATGACAACTTCTAGGAGTTCCCTGTTTCAAACCTCAAACATAGGATGAATCCTTGGCATGACAACAGTAGGACTTGATAGTCTCCCTCCTAGTTGAGCCTGTTCTCTTCTCATCTCAAAACAGTTTAATATACAGTAATCATGAATGATTTCTTTCGTACGTCACGAGCCTTAAGCTATCTGAGAAAGGATTGTGGGAGAGTTTCTTTTCCACAGTCTGGATGTTTAGTATGGTACCCTTTGGGTGACATGCGATGCATTCACTCTCAGGTCATAGTCTTTAGTGCGATTGAAATTGCAAACACAATAAAAAACACTTCTTCCGTAAAAGACAGAAAATAATTCGTAGTGTCCCGAACTACGTAAGCTCTGATCTCTCATACCTGTTGAGAGTACATAGGCACAATACTGATGTATTGGCGAGCCACCTTCCCCGTAACCCGTCGTAGGGCGAACTACGTTGACTCTGATTTCTCGTTCCAGACGGGAATACGTAGGCATAAAGTGTGATACTTTGCCGAGTCATTTTCTTTTCGTTTTAACCCAGACCTGTAGAATAGATAGAATAACAATCCGTACTAGAAAACAAGCGTGGATCCCGTCGAGTACGACGGACGTGAGGGGTGCTAATACCTTCCCCTTGCATAACCGACTCCCGAATCCAGGATTTGGTTGCAGTGACCATTCCTTTCCCGTCTTTGCGGTAGGTTTACTCTGAGCGTTTCCTTTCCCTCCGTTGGGATAAATAACGCACGGTGGCGACTCTTTTGTTCAGCCGGCGCCGATTTTCGCAGTAGCGACAACGTTCATCCTAAACTCATTCGATTTTCCAGAATTCTTTCAATGTTCATCTAGATTCATCCACGTTCATACGTCATTCATCAAAATTCATCAACATTCATCAGATTTTTCCAAATCTACAATAGATCTCAAGATCCAATCTCCACCAGAACCCAATCTTCTTCAACAATATTTCAATCTCACGAAACTACAACCAATCTTCAACTAACGTCTTCAAACATCTCTGGATCCAAAACAAACTCGCCAAAGCTTCGCGAAATCTCCGATCGAACCACAAACCACCATCGTTATCGCACGACTCCGATCTCCAGATCTACAAACCTCCAACTCATAAATCTTCTTCTCAGATCTACAAATCACAACAACACATCCTTCAGATTCACAGATCTTCCACATGCAAACCACAATCTCTTCAAACCATAACCATCAACGTCTATTGGAAGAACAATCTGGATTTGGAGTTCCGTTTGATTTGGTTGTCCGATCTTGTAGGTGTGGTTTGTTTAATTTGACAGAAAAAGATGAAATTGATAGGGAAGAATGTGAAGAGGAAGATTTGTGAGCGGAACTGAGGGTTGAGGCAGCGAGGTGGGAAGTGACGGCGGAGCTAGGGTTGAGCAAGGTGATGAACAAGGATAGAAAAGAAAATGGCGGAACTAGGGTGAACAAAGGAAGAAGATGAGGAAGCTTTGTGAGACTCCAAACGGGTTAGTGGGCCTTCGGCCCATTAGTCTTCTAGACTATACCCCCGTTTTCCTCTTTACACCCCCTCTGCTGATTGTTGTATGGCGAATTTGGGCTTCCAATCCTCTGTTCCAACGGTATTCTTGCTGCTACTATACCCTTGCTGGACTGATGCACCCCCCCTGTTTCAATTTTCTTTTTGGTTCTATGTTTGTAAAAACTTTTGGTATTATATTTTTCTTTTGTATTATATGTAAATACTTTACTATTTTTCTTTAAGGAAATTTTATTTTCTTTTAAGAATATTATATACATATGTTTTGTATAGAATTTTATATTCTATTTTCATTCAATTTTCTTTTAAATTTCTTTTACTTATTAGAAGTTTATTTTCTATTAAAATTTGAATTCTTATTTCCATTTGTTATTGGACTTGTTATCTCATTTTCATTTTGTAGCTCGATGACGAGACCTCCATAATTTGTTATCCATCAAATTGTTGATGGATAATGTAGGACTTGAGACCACTTATTTCTCTCATCATTTTTCTTCTCCTTCTGATTTTATTTTGACTTTCTTCTAGTTTGGTCCGTGTGGCACGATTCAATTGGAGAATGATTCTCAATATCATTTCTCTATCTTTTCTTTGACACGGATATCAATACGCTACCTCTTAGAGTTTGACTTCATTTTTAAGTTGAATCACTACGATTTAGTGTTACATTGGTCCTGATTTGGGTTTGAAACGTCATCATCAAGGATTAAAAGAGGAGAGCTTGGAATGGAGCTTGCACGCAAAAGTCAAGGGTCAACGGAACCACTCCGTTCGGTAACATTGCTTTTATTTCATTTCTTTTATGCAACCGTCGAGTGTTGTGAGCTGTAGCGTTAGATACGTGGGAAATGATGAGCGGGTGGCTGCTCTCACTTGTCTAGAGTGTTAGCGTATCCCCTTTGGACAATATGCGACGCATTCGCTCCTACGTCTTAGGACTTTGCGTGTGCGTCCCAATTCGAACCTTTTCGCTCGCATCCTGGCGATGGAGACTCCCCTTTTCCCTCGCGTCCTGGCGATTGAGATCCTTTCTCTTTCCCCTATGCAATTGAGACCGTCTTTCCGTAGTTGGCCGAACTGCGGCTGCTCTGATCTCTCATATCTATAGAGAGTACGTAGGCATAGGATTGCGATAATCCTAGCGAGCACTTTTCCCCTCTTTCCTGTAGTTAGCTGAACTACAGTTGCTCTGATTTCTCATACCAGATGAGAATATGTAGGCACAAGACGCGATGTCTTGGCGAGCACACTAACAACTAGTTTCTTCTTTCTCTCGCTTCCGTGTGATCGAGACTTCTCCCGCTGACGACTAACACATATCCCTTTCTCTTGCCCTAGTGCAATCGAGACCAGCCTGTAGTGTTAAACATTAGGTTCCCATACCCTTTAAACCAATGACATACTACATCCGTTCTACCACAAACAGGTAACGCCTAAATCTCCAATGGTCGAGCAGCATACACCTAACTGCTAGAATGCGTGCGCTAGTATCGTCAACCTCTTCTCTCACTCCCGTCTGATCGAGAACACTCATTCGTCCCATATTTATCCTGAACTACATTTTGCTCTGATTTCTCATGCTAGATAAGAATATGTAGGCACAAGACGCGATGTTTTGGTGAGCAAATCTCCCGTAGTTTTTCGAACTACGTTGACTCTGACTCTCCCATTGCACGAGGGAATACGTAGGCATAGAGCGGTGATGCTCTATCGAGTCAGCTCTTTCCGTTTAGCTTTAGAAGCCGTAGATAAATTGTTTTTCACCCATAGACTAGACAACCAAGCGTGGATCCCGTCGAGTACGATGGACGTGAAGGGTGCTCATACCTTCCCCTTGCGTAACCGACTCCCAAACCCGAGACACGGTTGCGATGACCTGTCTTCTCCCGTTTTCATCAAGTTTTCTCTGCTCGTTTCCTTTCCCTCATTGGGATAAATAATGAACGGTGGCGACTCTTCTGTTATTGTCAGCACCTTTTTTCGTAGTAGCGACAGCTGGGGACTTCTTTTGCAGTCTCGCCTTGTTTCCTGACTGTCTGGGCTCCCCAGCAGCTGGCGACTTTGCTGAGGACAGGAACATCCCCTATGCAAGTCAATCCTAGCGCTTGTTTTCTTGTCTTTAGGTGTGTATATTTGTGTGTCATATTTTGTATATTACTATATTTACATTTTCCGCACTATGTTATTATCTGTTGATGTTGTGTTGTTGGGTGGTTTTCTCTGTTCGTTTCCTTTCCCTCATTGGGATAAATAACAAACGGTGGCGACTCTTCTGTCATTGCCGATACCTTTTTTGCAGTAGAGACACTACCAAGAGAGATGAAGGGTTAAATATCTAGGTCTGGTCTAGCTTCACTCCAGAGAACCAGTTTGACAAAGATAGACACGAACCTGGTTTCCGCATTTGTAGAGAGATGACATCTAGAGACATCTTTATTTCACATGTCATTTGGTGAGATGATGATTACTCTAGATGACGTTTCTTGCCTGCTTCACTTGCCCATCAGGGGAGTCTTCTGGAGCCCTCAAGATACCAATGAAGGACTTTATATTGAGTGAGTTGTTGATTACTTAGGAGTGTCACACAGAGTGGCACAACAACAAGTCTGTGACTACATGGGTTCTTATTATAAGTTGGAGTGGTCATATGATCGATTTGTAGAGCATAGAGCTGCTTTTATATGGAATTATGCGACTAGAGCTTATTTGTTGATGTTAGTGGGTTCCACTATTTTTGCGGACAAGACGTTAATGCTTGTCAAGGCACGATACCTATAATTATTTATAGACTTGGAAGGGTTATCAAGATATATTTGGGGAGAAACTGCGTTCGTTACCTTCTATAGATATCTTGGAGATGCTTCCATGTTCAGTTGTAAGCAGCTCGGTGGTTATCCAACTCTCCTACAGGTTGAGATTTCTTTTGTGAAGCCTGTGATGGTTGAGATTTCTTCGAAGTCTGTGATGGTTGAGATGCTTGATTAACATACTCGTGATACGAAGGGTCTCTATCAACATCATACTCTACTGGTTTTTTGCCTTTCTTCTTGACTCCCCCTTTAGGTTTTATTTTCTCAGGTGGTGGACACATAGATGTCATTGTGGGGAAGGCAAGTTCAAAAACCCTACTTTTTAATGCCCTTTTCCCAACAAAGTCCAGTGACTTAAACCTTTTCCATAACTCATCTATTTCACTACTCATATCCACCTCTGATCCATCATCTACGTCTTCATCCAACTTAACTTCCATACTTAGTTTTCTCCAACGAACATGCACAACATCTATTGGTATCGGTATACCATCAATTCTATATCATGTCAACTCACAACCACAAGGTAATCTGTAGGTTTTTCTAAGAGTACAATGACATATTTCCTTGTTAGTTCCAACATAATCAACTCGTTTTAACTCTTCAGTAATGCGTCTCAATGCATCTCGAGACACTGAACCACGTAAATTATTGTAAAATGGACTTATGTGGGCATACTCAACTTCATAAAAACTCTTTTGAAAAGAAGCTCTAATTTTTCCCAGTTGTAACTTTAATTTGTCATTCATAGCCTCCCAACATTTGACCATGTTACCAATATTGTTCCCCAACATTTCCTTTAACTTCCAATGAGCAGACTCAACCCTAAAATTAATACATATTAAATATATTTTAAAAAAATACAAAAAAGATATAAAATTTAGAAATACTAAAAATAAATACATACCGATTAGTCGTGGTGTTACCCAAATGTAGCACTCGATTAATCCATGCTCCAACAAATCTTTGTCTATGTGGTGTCAACCATATGTCCTTCACATAATCAATAAATTCATTACAATCAACACACACCTGCTCAAGTTGGTTCAACCTTTGATCATACTCAACCTCATCACTAGCCCATACAACACCCGTCCATAATTTGTCAATTTTCTTTTGCATGTCACTAGCCACATATTGTTTACATTTTGGACCAACATTCTTGTTAATATGAAATTGAGATAGCAAATTGATCGACCTTGGAAACACAATTTCAATGGCTTTCATCAAACCAAGATCTCTATCTGTCAAAATCACTTGTGGACACAAATCTTTCTTGACAAACAATTGTTTAAGCTTATCTAGCACCCAACAAATAGTCTTAGTCTGCTCAGAATCAATATACGCAAATGCGACAACAAAAGTCAACTCAGTTTATGTTATGCCAACAATTTCAAATAGAGTTTGCCTATATTTGTTTGTCTTGTAAGTGTTGTCCATAACTAACACAATAGGAAAAATATTCAACAACTTAATTGAATCTGGATGAGCCCAAAATATATCTCTAATAACTTCAGAGTTATCTCTTTTTCTACTCCAATAAACAAAACCTGCATCCTCAATAAGCTTAAACAAATGTTGTATCTCACTTCTAGGACCTCTTATATTTTTTTCTATCATACTCTTCTGCTTGTATATTTGCCTGATCCGAGTGACATTATCTGGATCTTGCTCTTGCAATGAAAGCAATATATGTCTAGGTAGAACCTTTCTCTTTGTCATATCAACAACATGTTGCTTTTGATCAGCTGTCGACCTACCAACAAATGCGTGACCTTCTAATCTATCAGGTAAACCATGGTTATGAAATCCACATTTTACATCAATCTTCCATCCAGATCCATCAGTCGCTGGAATTGACCTGATTCTAAATGGACATCTACATTTTTTTCGTCGCACTTTGGTTTCCACTATCAATATCTTTGTGTTTTCCACCTTTATCACATCCAAATGTTAATTTGTTACATGTTCCTCTCTTGCCTGTTTCAATATCTGAATGAGTGATGATAACTGTTAATTTGTTTCGGATTCCGATCTCTTTAATCCATCTTATCACCTCTTCTCGTGTACCAAATCTTTGAGTTGTTGAAAAAACATCAGACGTATCTACATATATCTGATCTTGATCGCATATTTGTGAAGGATTTTCTGTACCCGCATAAAAAAATATAATTTCTTTTTACAAAAGCAAACCAGAAGACTCAGGAAAAGAGTTCAGGTAAACAAAGATAATAAACCGGAAGACTTGTAAAAAGTGTTCCGGTACACTTTTCCTTCATACCGGAACTCTTAAGACAAGTGTTACGGTAAGATTTCTACGTAAAACTCAAACCGGAAGCCTTTGTTTAACTCTTCCAGTACATATTTTGTATAAACCGGAACTCTTAGCCAAAGTCTTCCAGTTTGGAAAAAACATACCGAAAATCATTTTAAAAGTGTTCCGGACAACTTGATGGGTGAATTTTTCGGAACTCTGACATGACAGTGAAAACTAAAAAATAAAATAAAATAATAAAAAATAGACAGAGATAAAATTGGTATTTTTTTTTAAAATATAGGGGTATAGGTATAATTGTAGGGGTATGGGGTACAATTTCTAAATGAAATTACAACCAAAGAGTAATGTGATAATTACAACTTGATTTCTAATTTGCACTCTTATACTATACCTTTTTATTTCTCTCCCCCCCCCCCCCCCCCCCCACACACACACACACACACACTCTTTTTTTTCTATAAATGCATAGAAATAGTATTTAATTTTTAAAAATAAAAATTAAAAATACAAACTACTTATTATCAATAATTTTTATTTATATAAGCAATAAAAAGGTCCCAAAAAAAAAGGAAAGATGCTCAAAATTTGGGGTACGACAGCTGCCCCTTTTTAATCGTCTTCGAATCAAAATGATGATTCAGTGAGCCTTCCTCTTTTTTTGAGGAGGAGACAATTAACTACAATAAAAACCCTAACTTTAACCGCGAAGTTGATAGATTTAGAAAGCGTGTGGACCAATCCCTGATGCTCCGTTAATACCCCAATATCCCTCCCTAGTTGCAGAAGTCGGGTAGGATTTTGAAGATCCTCTGATTCCGTTTTGGTAAACCCTGTTAGAACTCTTAATAAAAATATTTGGTAAAATCTTGATAAAACCCCTGTGAAATCTTTTGATGGAACCCCTCATAACAAAAACCCTGACAAAAATTGTTTGGCAAACCCCTTATGGAACCCCTTGATTAACCCTTGACGATTCGTTTCAACCCTTTCAGGTGGATCTTGCCTATGATTCCTGTGACCCTTCTATCATGCTACTGGAATCAAGTAGGACTTTAATGATACCCCGATTACTTCGGATGAAACCCGTTTGCTAAAGTTCTAGTGAAACCCCTTGATGGAACCCCTTATTTGGATAAAAATTCCTAGATATAACCCATTGGATAAAAATCCAGTAGAACCCCTTGATAAAACTCTGATGTAACCCCTTTTGGATGAAAATCCCTTGATAGAACCCCTTGATACATTTTTTTGTAGAACCCCTTGATGAATCCCTTGATGAAACTCACGATAAAACCCCTTTGATAGAAGCCCTTAATGAAACCCTGAATGAAATCCTTTGATGAAACTTTGGTGAAACTCCTAATGAACCCTTGGTGGATAATACTCCGATGAAAACCTATTGATATAACCTTTTTGATAAAAACCCCTTTTTGTGACCCCTTAAAATTCGTTGAAAACACTTGATAAAACCCATGATGAAATCCCTTGGTAAAACCCTTTTTTTTTTGATAAATTCATTGGTAAAACCCTTTATGATAAATCCCTCGATAAAACCCTTTTTGATAAATCCCTTGGTAAAACCCTTAGATAAACCCCGGATCGAACCCTTTGATAAAAAAATCCTGATGAAATCCCTTTGAACAATCCCTGCTGGAAACCCCTTGATAATGACATCTTGCTGAAACTTTGTAAAACCAAGTGAACCATCAGTGAAACCCTGTGACTATTGCTCTGATGAAAACCCTTTGATTGAACCCCTTGGATGAAATTTCAAATAAAAACCTTTTTGACAAGATCCCTTGATAGAAAACCCCTTGATAAAATTCTTTGCTAAAATTCCTTGACAAAACCCTTGATAAACCCTTTAAATGAAACCCTTAGATGAAACCCTTTAAATGAAACCCTTAGATGAAATCTTGGCGAAATCCTTTTGATAGATACCCTTGGTGAAGCCATTGATAAAACCTTGGTAATAACTCTTCTGATAGAAATCTGATTGAAGCCCTAACAAAATCCTTGATAAAAAACCCTTAATGAAACCCTTGATAAAAAAACCCTTTGGTATTTGATGAAACGTATCCCTTATGGATGATAAGTTGCTAAGCTGAGGATGTAATAGGTAAAGACCTGCTCACTGGTTGATAACTATCATTTAGTATGACTGACTACTAGATAGATCCCTTTGAAGACTCACAGTGAGTTTGTTAGGGAAGTTCTTTATTGAAAAGTGATTGGGAAGGTTACTTATTGGGAAAGGCCAATAAGTACCCCTACTTGGGAATTGTATTGGTATAAATGAGGATTGAACCTCTAGGAGCAGTCGCAAGTCTTATGTTATGCATGTATGTTCATGTATGCATGTTATGATTTATATGGCATAATGATCCACATTCATGGATATGCTACGTGTGATATGATGTATGAATGTAATGTATGATGCACACATTGTATTAACATCATGTTGCGCCAGTAAAGACTGGGCCATTGTGAGATGCCAATCAAAGTTTTTTTTTTGGTGAGTGCCAAATGAGGTTAGGCTTTTGGGATGTAGGGTTGGGATTTTTAGAAGAATGCCATATGAATGAGATGGTATGCATGGTTTGATGCTAGAGTGTAGCGACATAATTAATCCATGACAATGTCTTGAATGTTTCAACAAATTCCCAACTGGTGAGTAATGGAATGGTTAAGACCTTGAGAGGTTGCTTGTGTGTAATACCCCAAATTTTACCCTCAGATTAGTCGAGTCATGTCATATGTCGTCTCATTTTTGCATCAGCTAACTATTAACGGGTTGCATAGTTTGTTCGTTTTGCAGGAACCACGTCTGGAACGCTTTAGTCGTTAAAGGGGAAAATGGTAATTTACACGTTGTTTACTGATAGTCCATGAAGGTGAGGTATCGTCAAGGATCTATTGAATAAATAGAGCCTCTGCTTCCGAGTATTTTATTTTCTTTGAGGATAAACAAAAATTTATAGTGTATTTTGGCATCGGAGTTTTCAAGATACGATAATTTATTCAGGAGCCGAGTGTTGCACCCTAAAGTTTGCCCAACTTTTCTTTACCTAGCTTATGTTTCATTTCATTCACATTAGCATTATCATTTGTATTTCATTGACATGTATGCAGGAGATCAAGAGGTATGGTTACCAATCAAGG